TCAAGGTTACACAGCTGGTCAGAGGTGGGTCTGGGATCTAAGCTGAGGTCTGCCAGGCTTCCTGATCCTAAAGGGCCAAACCCTCATTGGACCTGCCCGTATTCTCCCTCCCATTCCTGCCCCTCCTCCACAGCCCAGCTGTTGCCACTGCACACATGAGAAAGCACTGGTTGAGTAGCTTCTGTGTAATCGCATAGCATCTGAAGGCAGGGAGTGCCAGAACTCCCCCCCCCTCCATCTCCAACTGGGACTCCATGGCCCAGGCACTCACAGCACTGGATGTTCCCCTGGGTAAAGTTGTAGGTGTAATGGTCCCTGTGGATACGGCAACGTTGGAGCTTCAGCTTAGCATAGCAGCACTCATGGGCATGGCAGCACCTGGAGAGAGAGGACAGGAGGTGGGACAGGAAGCACAGCTTCAGGGGTCTTTAGCCAACTCAGTTCTCTGGCAGCCCCAGCCCCAGGGAAGAACCAAAGTGACCCCTTGGAAGGGTCAAGGCCTGCGGGGTTCTAGTCTTCTTTATGGGCAGGCTGGCTAACACTTATCGAGTCCTTCATTGGTATCAGGCACTTGCTTCTTATATGAATTGTCTCTTAATCTCATCTATCACCCATGACAGGGGTACCAGTGTTATCCCCATTTCACAGATGAGGAAACTGAGAATCAGGGAGGTCAAGCCACTTGCCCAAGGTCACAGAGCCTGTAAATGGTGGAACAGGGAAGTGACCTGAGCCTGGTTGGCTTGCTGGTCAATTCCGAGATTTTTGGTGAAGATCAAATGAGATAATGGAAAAATCGGAGGGACTTTTTAAAAACATCATGCAATGGCAACGGGAGTGTGTGTGGGTACTGTGACTCGATTAGGGTTTGGGGGTGCAAGGGGGGCCTTCAGAGACTCTGGGGAACCTTCTAGAAGGGAACCTCCAGGAGGGCTGGGTCTGTATGGGAGCTCAGCAGAGTTCCGAGCACACAGTACAAAACGAATTCACAGAATGAATAAATGGATGGAGGGGAAGGAGGGAGTTCTGGGGTGGGGGCAGCACAGGACTGCCACCCGAGTCTGCCTAGAAAGGGATTACCAGTCCGAGGCATCTACGGGTGGGCCTTTGCCACCAGGTCCACAGTGACAGCCGTAGGACCCATAGTAGAGGATGGGTGTCTTCCCGGTCACTTGTTTGATCATCTTGTTCACATTCAGAATCCCTCCCTGTGTTGGCGTCACACCTGCCAAGAAACCCAACAACAAGGAGAGGACCTGAGTCTCAGGGGAGGTCAGTGGACCCGAAGCCTGGCACCTCGGCCCCACATGGACCAAACCAATGACCTGGGATAATAAAATGACAACCACTACTGCGGCTATAAAAATATAATGATAGTGAGTGAGTGCTGACTAGGGGTCTTTTCACATAGTAATTTTTTGACTCCATGCCTCCTATGAGATAGATACTATTTTTGTATTCTAAATAAACTTTTCCTTTTGGTTTATTCCAGATGCACAAAAAAAGTTGCAGAGATCGTACAGACAGTTCTCACACACCTCTAACCCACTTTCCTCTCCTGTTATATCATCTTACAAAATTGGGGTATATTTCTGAAAACGAAGAAACCAACATGAGTACAATAACTACTACTTTTACCCCCATTTTAGAGGTGAGCAGGCTCAGTAACTTGCTCCAGGTAACAGTGGCTGGGAAACGGAGGAGCCAGGGTTGACACCCAAGGCAGCTGGGTTCTATGCTCTGTCCCTGGGCATTAAGGTCCGACTCTATAAAAGGAAGCCCCCCCCCACCCCACCTCCGCCTGCTTCCTGCACTTCCCCCCAACCCCACCCCAGCATCACTTTTGGTAGAGAAATCCACATGTTAAAGAGGAGGCGGCTCTTCTGGGGGCAATGTGATTTAGAAATCAATGATATTCATGGATAGTTTCATCACTCGTAATAGCTTTTGGTTACATACAACATACAACCACATTTTAAAATGATCCTTTCTAAAGTCACATATTTTGAGATGGCCGAGAAACAAATATACCAATTTGTTAGCAACCACATTTTTATATTTGATCTGCTAAAGGTCGAATGGAGCCTGCCCATCTCACACCAGTGGTCAACAGAGCCCTCTTCCCAGGTTCGAGGAGATGATCGTGAAAGGTTCGAAAAATACCGAGTGCTGTGTCTACGTAAATGATTATTATTATTCCATCAAAGACGGGGGAACAGGGTGAGGTGGGGAGATTCATTTCTGTCATTTGTGTCCCAAGTACCATAGCTGCCAGCTCGGCAGGCCCCTGGGTTCTGAACCTTTAGTTTCCAACTGTCACAGCCGTTTAGAAGCAGACCAACAGCTCCGCCACCCAGAGTTCTCTGGCCAAAGCCACTGTTCTAGGGGACTGGAGCCACTGATGGATGGCTCCTTGCAAGAGGCAGAGGGTTGGAAAACTGGGTCCGGGGCAGTAAGGATCAGAGCAGTAGCTCAGTCTAGGAAAGAGATATAGAGCCTACCCGCATCCCTCTGTCCCTTCCCAGCCGTGGTCCTGTCCCCACTCACCAGCAAACACCACCAG